GCTGTGCTGTGCTGCGCCGTGCTGAATTGCGATGTGCCATGGCGCGACTGTGCTCTATAGCCTCGTGGATCGAGTCCTCCTTTGCATCCGAGTCCAGACCGAACTGATCTGGATCTTAAGCTCGAGCTGCCTGAACACATAGTAGCTGCCCCAGAGCTAATGGACAAGGGAACATGCCAGGAGGACGCGCCGCGAAACGTCCCAAGGGATGCGCCAGGCGACGTGCCAGGGGACGTGCCATGGGGTCGCACCGCGGGACGTGCCAAGGGGACGCGCTACGGAACGTGCCACTGGATGTGCCACGGGATGTGCCAGGGGACGCGCGACGCGACGTGCCAGGGGGACTCGCCAAAGGACGCCCCACGGAACGTGCCAAGGAACGTGCCAAGTTGCAATGCTGAGCGTATCGACCTTGATGTACCGTGCCGAAATCAATGCTGTGCTGCGCCGTGCTGACTTGCGATGTGCCATGGCGCGACTGTGCTCTATAGCCTCGTGGATCGAGTCCTCCTTTGCATCCGAGTCCTGACCGAACTGATCTGGATCTAAAGCTCGAGCTGCCTGAACACATAGTAGCTGCCCCAGAGCTAATGGACAGGGGAACATGCCAGGAGGACGCGACGCAGAACGTCTCAAGGGACGCGCCAAGCGACGTGCCAAGGGACGTGCCATGGGACGCACCGCGGGACGTGCCAAGGGGACGCGCTACGGAACGTGCTGGGGACAAGCGTTTCGCTCGAGACATCCTGTCAAAATCATCTGAATTCCTACGCGCGGGACGCTGCACGCGCGAGACATCCTCGGAATTCCTGCGAGCGGGACGAGAAAACAAGCATTTCGCCTGAGACATCCTTTGAATTCTGGCCCCCCACGAGGCCACCGCTCGAGACATCCTCCAATTTTGCAAAACCAGCGTTTCGCTTGAGACATCCTCAACAAATTATGAAAAACAAGCGTTTCGCTCGAGACATCCTGTCAAAATCCCCAGAAACCCAAATACCCGCGCGCAGGACGCGGCACGCGCGAGACATCCTTGGAATTCCTGCGCGAGGGGCGCTTTTCCGTGTCGCGGTCGGCTCTGCAAAACCAGCGTGTCGCTCGAGACATCCTCAACAAATTCTGAAACCAAGCGTTTCGCTCGAGACATCCCCAACTCTGCAAAACCAGCGTCTCGCTCGAGACATCCTCAACAATTCTGAAAAACAAGCGTTTCGCTCGAGACATCCTCAAAAATTACACTACACCCGCGCTCCCAGGGCCACGATCCCTCGTAAATTACGCTACGTCAGCGCTCCCAGGGCCACGATCCCTCGTAAGGGCTCCTGGGCCCTCCTGGGTCTTCCTTGGACCTCTTGGGCCCTCCTGGGCTCTCCTGGAGCCTCCTGGAGCTTCTCCTGGGCCCTCCTTGGGCCCCCTGGTGCCTCTTGGAGCCTCCTGGGTCCTCCTGGGCCCTCCTGGGCTCTCCTGGGCCCTCCTGGGCTCTCCTGGGCTCTCCTGGAGCCTCCTGGGCCCTCCTGGGCGAAGTCAAGGTCCGAAAACACATGGGACTTGCCACATTCCTGAAATTCGGTGCCACCCCTCACGCAGGTCGGCGGGGTCAGGATCCGAAAACACAGGGGATTTGCCACATTTCTGGAATTCCGTGCCACCCCTCACGCAGATCGGCGGGGTCAGGGTCCAAAAACACAGGGGATTTGCTACATTTCTGGAATTCCGCGCCACCCCTCACGCAGATCGGCGGGGTCAGGGTCCAAAAACACACGGGATTTGACACATTTCTGGTATTCCGTGCCACACCTTACGCAGATCGGCGGGGTCAGGGTCAAAAAACACATGGGATTTCTGCTATTTCCGAACTTCAAGAATCCAAAACTCCGTTCCCAGCGCCGTTCCGGAGGCCGCGGTACCTCGTTATTTATCGAGCGAACGCGTTTACCTTGTTTTTTTATCGTTTAAGTCGATGTCGGAAAAAAGTGAACTTCACCTGTGAAATATCGAGGTTTCCTTACAGGCAGTAAATTCCAAGAGCACGATCTGCGTGAGGGGTGGCGAAAAATGGCCTTCGTCCTCACAATTGAAATCCGCCGGCCCCCTTCGACCTCGTAATTTATCACACAAGAATTCAGCTGGCCCCCTTCAAGTAAAAACCGAGGGTAAACCAACTAACAGAGAACCCTATGCCCAGGCCCTTTCCGGGAACAATTTGGAAACACGTGCGGGCTGCCAGGGAATGGCGCTCGAAAGCATCGGCGGGCAGCGCACGAACAGCAATTGGACGCACATGGCCTGGAAAAGGTGCTCGGGGGACGACGGAGGGCGGAGTAAGCGGGGAAGGAGGAGGCGGGCGGGGGTGCGCAGAAGGCAAACGAGGGGGCGGAGCGGGGCGTAGACGAGGCATGGGGGGAGGAGGAGGAGGAGGAGGAGGAGGAGGAGGAGGAGGAGGAGGAGGAGGAGTAAGAGGAGAGGAGGGAAGATGAGGAGGAGGAGGATGAGGGAAGGAGGAGGAGGAGAAGGAAGGCGGAGGGAAGAGTGAGGAGGAGGACGAGGAGTGAAGTGAATAGGAGGGGAGAGGAGGAAGCTTATAGATGTACGCTTCCGAAGGGTGAGATTAGTATGAGGAGGACGCAGCGTATGAAACTCATAGCACGAGTAGAATGAGGAGGGGAGGAGTGGATGCTAATTAAACGAGTCAGTGGGAGGGCGAATAAAGGAACGCGGGGGTCGGGACGCAGGGGGGGGGGGGAGGGGCGAAGACGCGGATGTGGAGGATGACAAAGTGGAGGAGGATGACAAAGGAGAAGAGGAGGAGGACGAGCGAGGTTGGGGGGGAGAGGAAGACGACGGCGCGGAAGCGCACGGGGAGGAAAAGTTCGACTTTGCCCCCACGCACTCCCGCGCGCGGGGCGTTGGATGATATTTTACCTGCGGCCACCGTTCACGGAACCGCCGTCGTGGACCTGAAAAGGCAATGGCGCTGCAGGGGTGCGCGGGAGCGCAATCAATATAATCACCTTCCTATATACCGTGCTAGCGACGTCAATTCCTCGCCCACGGTCGCTGCGCCCCCGCGCGCCCGCGCTCACGGGGGAAAGTTGCCCGACCTTCACCAACGGAAGACGCGCGTCCGCAGCGCGTTGACAATGTTCCGCCGGCCGCGGAGGCAAACCACATAAGGAACCTTTCACGCACCAGCGCGTGGACAACCACCCACGGACCACATCGAAAACATACCAACGCAGCATGCCCACGTCGAATTCCTTCTCTGCCACAGGGTCAGTCGCCAATTCAAGGCCCGCGGGCGCACGTTCACGCAACACTGCATGCCTGACCCCCAACCTCGTCGTGGACATCCTTGGAGTGGCAGGGCTGCAGATGGACCACGGATGGACCCAAGTTGAATTCGGCAGCGTGCTTGGAGACCCCCTTGGACAAGATACCGCGCATGGTTCGCCCGCCACCTTTTTCAGGGATGCACGCCACACCTCGCGGCCGAAGGCGCCCAGGCGGCCATCGCCCCCGCAGCCAAGGAACAGCGACCCACGCATGCCGAGCCTCGAACGAAGACAAAACTGCAAGAGCGCGCACATAAATCCACGAACTGACTTCGCAATACGATTTTGCCTGCACTGGCCGTTTGCGTATCTGGGGCCAGGCCCCGCCGCCAGTTTCATGGGCGCTCGCGCACCGTCTGTTACAATTCAAAGTTCTGACCTCGACCTTCCCCTCAGTAAACGTCCTGTCGCACTGCCCCTTCGCGCCAAGACTCTCCACGAGAAAGCGGCGGCGCCGCTCGAGGTAGTCTTCGCGCAGCTTTTGCACGCGCTCGCAAAGGATCTTGCCCGCGCCACCCAATTCCCGACCGCGGTGCTCTGGCCACCGTTGGTTTCGCACGACTGGACAAAGACCGCGACCGCGAAGCTTCCGTCGGGCTACTTCAAGAACGAATGGAGCCCCAGACCGTAGGCGCGAAGCCCATGAACCTCTACGTTCGTCCCCCACTGTGCCCATGGACTTGGAACCCTTCGGCTAAGGTCCCCCCTCGCCTGTTCCTCGCGCGCGTCAATGCCCAAATGCACAATTAGCTTGCGCAAAACCGAGGCCCGCCCCGCGGTCCGCGGAAACAGGTAGCCTGCCAGAAGCTGCTGTTTGTTCAAGGTCTAGGTCAGCTTTGCTTCGCGTTACCTTGCCCTGGTCCTTCGCCAGCTCCTCCCCCCCCCCGGAGTACAACATAGCGACCCAAGTGTATTCGTGAGCCTGCTGCACTTTAGCCCCATGCAGGCTCACATTCGCCGTCAGAATATCGAGAGGTGCTACCCGGTAGCCTGCCTCTGCGAGTCGTCAAGTACGAAAATGCCCCCTACTTGTGCGTGAGAACGGCGAACTGCTGAGAGCCAGCCCCCGTCCGCACGGAATCTCACCTTCACTCGCGCAGGCTCGGAAAGACAAGCCCATGGAACAAGCTGCTGGGGGATCTGACCGACGGGACAGGCCCATGGAACCTTGTCCATGAGACGACCACCCCCCAACCAGAATTGTAGAAGTGAGTTCGTCGTCATCGTCGTCGTGGCCGGCGACGCTAAGTCGACGCGAAGTCGACGCCACTCGACGCTGAATCGACGCTGAATCGACGCTGATCGGTTCCAAATCGGCGGCCTTCCCATCGACTTCCTGCAAGCGCTGGCGCACGCCTGTGCATTCCAAAGACAGCACTCCGAGGGCATGCAATGGGATTCGCAAGGACGAGCTGATAACATGTGGCATCCACGGAGGCGCGCGCCCGACCCAAACACATACAGCACAACCGTGTCGTAACATATCGCTTCCTGAGCGGTACGGCCAAGGAGCGCCCGCCACGAAGCAGATGCTACAAGATCTCTCGGCGCGCGCGTCGGGGCGACGTACACATTCTACAGTGGGGGCCAGTCCACAAAAAACCTTCCACAAGAAACCCAACCCTGAGACCAAAAGACGTCAACTCATTTTGCGTGTGGGGACGTCACGCCTTGCATCGCAAGACCATCGAAACCCAGGAAACATGCGGCACCCTGGAGGCAAGCAGGGTGCTTCTCGGGACGGGGCCCCACTGTACTGAGCATGCCGTGATCATGCTGACGCGAGGCTCCCAACGGAGAGGCAGGTGCCGCCGCCAGGCCGTGCGCTCCGAGGCCGGCAGCGCACGCCCGCGCGCGCCCCCACGCGGCCGCCTCCAGCCCGCGCTCCAGCGCGGCCATGATGTGCGCGGGCGGCACGCTCTCGCGCCTCGGCTGCGCGATCCGCCACCGTGCCCCCCCGGCACGGCGAGGCGCGGAAGAAGGAGGCGCTGCCTGGCAGGGTCTCTGTGGCCTTCCGCACCCCCACCCCTCCTCTCACCGCGCCCAGTTTCAGGTCGGGCATCTCCCCCCACGGGCGGAGCTGGAAGGACAAGTAAACACGGCTTTGAAAAAAAATCGAAAAAGTCAAAGCAAAACAAAAAGAGGAAGAAAAAGCATTCGGAAGCATCGCCCCCAGACTATGTTTGACTATGTTTGGATGTTCCTCCTGTAGAGAAGGACATGCCCGACTTCAGCCCAGTTGCGTGCACCGCCCCTCCTCCCCACGAGGCCCCTGGCGGCCATGGCGCCTCGCTGGCAGCTGCCACCTACAACAATGCTGCGCTGGCGCGGTGGCGGCTTCAAAAAAAAACTAAAGGGGCCCAGGGACACACAAAAAAATAGACACAAATCCGAGGATTCTCCTAGTCTCGTATATTTTCTGGGATTTCGTCTTACACCCCACCCACTTCCCACATGTTCCCATATTCTCCTCGGAGTCGACGATCAGTTGTGTCTGTGTGTTTTTGGCCCTCCTGGAAAAGATGTGACAGTCCATGTTGGACACAAACCGACAAACCTCCGTCGCGACATGTTGCTGATAACGGGCCACGTCTGCATCGCAGAGCGGGGGGGCCTGGGACGGGGTTTGCCGCTCCTCGACCAAAATTTTGCCCCGATGTGTGGCCACCGCGATCGCCGCGGCGACCTCCGAAGGCGAACCAGAGATTTGGTTCAGGGTCGGATATCACGCAACGACGCCTCCCAGCGTCCCAGAGCAGCGTTGGGAGCGAAAGGAAGTGCACGCAGATGGGCAGTCTGCAGGAGCTGCTCTGACGGAAGAAGCCGCACCTAGACGGCGCATCGGCAAAACAGATTGTAGCATAGAAGGCCAGGGAAAGCTCATGCAGAAGACATGCCTAGGCTGAGTGCACGTGCGCCAGGACGCAACCACTGCAACCACTGCATATAGCAGTAGTGGGCGGCGGTGTGAGTTGCACCAGCACTGCGGCATGCAGGAAGGAGAGAAGGAGGAAAGCAGGGGAGCAGGGGAGCCGAGGGAAGCATCACAATAATTTGCAGAACTGCGCGACTGCAGCATTCCATTCCGCAGCCGATGACTGCAGCAGCGAATCTAAATTTTCTGGGCTATCTTGTAAGACACCCCCAAACGCGCACCCCCAAACAATGCAAGACGAAGCCGTGACAACAAAAGCAAAAAGGCATAGATAGGGGATCTCAATGAACCAGCGTCGTCGTCGTCGTCGTCGGCGACGGCGTCGTCGGCGGCGGCGTCGGCGTCGTCGTCGTCGTCGACGACGTCGTCATCGTCGTCGTCGTCGGCGGCGGCGGCGTCGGCGGCGTCGGCGTCGGCGGCGGCGTCGGCGGCGGCGTCGGCGTCGGGCGCCGCGGGCGTGCTCGAGAGCGCTCCAGAACGCTCCGAGGGCCCGCCAGGACGCTGTGGAACGACTTGTCCTCGACCTAACCTCGCCTGAGTTCGCGCACCGCGAACAAGACGAAGCCAATATCGAAGAAGAAAAAGCGCCATGAACATAAGCTTGTGGCGCTCCGCGCGGGTTTCTCGGATCCGCGCTGGGTCCCCCTCCCTGGTGTGCGGAGCGCGCCAGGGGCGGCGCCAGGGGCGGCGCCGGAGGCGCCGCCAGGGGGCCCCAGCGCGAAACCAAAAGATCCGCACGGAGCGCCAAAAGCCTGTGTATGCCGGTTCGTCTTCGTCTTCGAAAGACGAAGCCAGGACGAGGATAAAATCAGGTGCGGATCACTCGGGAATCTCTGAAATCTGGCGGTTCTGGAGCATCTCTCGGGCGCTGCGGTCTTCTCAGAGCGATCCAGAAACGCTCCGAGGGCGTTCCGGAATGCTCTGGAATGGGTTCATCCTCGTCCTAGCCCCGCCCGACCGAAACAGTGTAGGAGGCAACGTCTGGGTGGTCTTCGTAAGAAAGAGTTGGGTCTTGGTCAGAAAGAGTTGGGAGCTGTTCACCTGGATTGAAGGGCTACTAACCCAAATTAACGCAGAATCAGCTCGCGAGCAAGCTGGATGAAAACGGGATTAACAGAAACTAAATGAACTATGCAGGATTAGGCGGCTTGCAGCCACGGATAGACCAGCGTCAATGCTGAATCGAACCTCCCGGGAGTTTCATCCTAAACCATGGCCGTTCAACAAGGGGAGACATATCGTGTCACGCCTAGTCATGAAGTTGAATCATATAGGAGAGCCCAGAATCGAATCGATAAGTCGGATCGGCGATCGACATGAATCGGATCGGCGGAAATCGGCAGCCGAGTCGGAAAAAACGAATCGGCGAAAATCGGCAGGCTTGTAGGCCTCCATTGGAAAACCGGAGCCCAGATCGGAATCCGAAGTCGAGTCGAATCGGAATCGGAAGCCATCGGAATCGAATCAAATCGGAGGTATCGAGATGAGCCCTGGACTTGGACCGCTGCCAACGCTGTTCCCATACAGGCGCAACTGCTCCCACAGCAAGACTGCCGTGCACGGCCACGGAGCTGCCCCGCCACAGGCGGGGGCGCCCTCGGGAGAGCAAGCCGGCCCACTCCAGCACCGACTCGGCTGTGGCCTCGGTCCACACGCTGGCTCCAGTCATTATCCGCCGGCCTATTTGCTCGCGCACGTCTGCGATGCAGCACGTCGGCTATACTAACCTTTTTCGTCGGCGGCGAGGCAAAAGCGGTCCGCTCCAGCGTAGGGCCCAGCTACACTAAACACGAGCACCACGATCCCGATGATCGACCTACGATTACTGCCATGACCCATATCGGCAGAGTGAACACAGGGCCAAATCAAAAACGGGTGCTACGCCAGATGACGTAGCGACCTTGCGCGGCGGCTCATGCGGGCCGCCAGCGCAGCACGCCACATTTGACGCGAGGGCGCTTAGGCGCGACCTTGAGCGAGCAGCTTACGCGCCTATGTCGGCGAAGACGACCCGGTTTGTTTGCGTCGCTCAGGTGGAGGTCTGTGTAGAAGATGAGGGAACGAAAAGAGAAGACGATGGCGACGACTGCGTGGTTATTCACTGATTGCGAGATTTGCGTGCTGGTTTCCCCCTGGGGGTCTCGCCGTGACTCCAACACTGCGGGCTCGATACGGTGGGCCCCTGGCGGGCCCCGGCCGTGTTGGACCCCGAAGAATTCGGCAAAGCATTAAAGGAACATTTGAAGACGTGAGACAGCATGGGCAGACTGGTGGACGACTTACTAAAGGAGGAGGCTCAGCATAGGCAGACTGCGTAAGCTATCTGGAAGGTCAAAGAAGGCGCTCAGGGAGGCACTGGGCGTGAATCACGGCGGCATCCCCCAGCTCCCGGCGGCACCCGACAGCTTTTGGAAGCTCATTGGCGGCCGCATATGGCTTGGATGGTCAGTCTGGGGACCCTCCTGGAGACACTCGCTCCACTCATGCGTCGAGGCTGCGTCGAACGTCCGTCGACTAGAGCCGACACTGACTTGAACCTGAGTCGAACCTGAGTCGAGCTTGAGCCAAACTTGAATCGAAGTGGGGTCGAGCTGGAGTCGAACAGATCCATTAGGTAGGCCCCAGAAAGGTCCCCAAAACGAGCATCGAATATGGCTCAAGATGAATCTAAGAACGCCCCAAGACAGGCCTGGTTGTCCCCAAGATGGACCCCAGACGGCCTAAGACAGCCCCACTAAGGCCATAACACGGTTTCAAGTGACCCCGCAAACCCCCAAGGACACCCCCCTGAGAGGCCGAAATCCTTCAAAAACTCATCGAAACTCAATGCATGAGCGTTCTGGCCTTGTCTTTTCCGATGTTCCTCTGAAGCGTCAAAATGGCCCTATGATGGCCCAAGATGACCCAAGATAGCCACAAGAGAGGCAGCAGCCTCCCTAAGGGCCCCAAGAGGCCAGCGTTCGGCCTTCGAGGGGGGGCACAATTTCCCAAACGCTTTTGTCGAAACGAGGGAGCCCAAAGTGACCACAAGAGGCCGTCCACGATCCCCGAGAGAGCTCCAAGCGAGCCCAAAAGGCCTCCAACGTTGCCCCAAGAGGGATCTAAGTGGCTTCCCGACGTCTCTAACTTCATCCGTGTTGGCATCGCTGCTTCAATACATGCATGCCTACGCCCCCCCTCCCCCAGGCAACTCTCATGGGCGTGGCTCCCGGATCTTACCTAGCGCGGAGCAAAGCAGGACCTACCGCCGGGGGAAGCCGCAGCGCCGGGGCTGCAAGAGGTGCCGGGGGCGGGAACTGCAAGCTGCCGGGGCTGCCAGGGAGCTGCAAGCGTGCGACAACCAGGGAGCGAGTCACCAGGTGTGCGACATGAGCTGCAGCGAACTAACCAAACACAGTTGGGGCGCAGCCAAAATGGCGCGGCGCTCTGCCAGGGTGTAACCAGGGAGGTTACCAGCCAGTACACTGGGGAGACTGCCATGAGTGCCCGACACGGTCCAAACTGGCGCACTGGGAAGCACCACCAAAATCGCACACCAAAACCCTGGAGAGGAGCACTGATCCTGCGAGCGCCCGGCCACGGAAGGCACCGGACACAGGCGAAGCAGCCAGGGGAACGATGGATGAAATCGACAAAGTCATCGTCTGAACTACCGGACAATCGCAGGAACTACCGGACAAAGTCATCGCCTGAACTACGCGCACTCTCGTGCTGAACCGACGACTGAGGGCTGCCCGAAACATGGAGATCCACGCCTCAACGCCGGATCGGGGTAGCAAGAGGTGGCCGTGGGCGACGCCGCCAGGGACCGCGGGCGAATCGACACGGCCGGCCGGCAGCAGGAAGCGCACAGGCTGCACCACGCGCACTCGGGAGCCAAGCCCTGGGACAGGACAGAGCCGCAGGAGCGGGGGGGGGGGGGCGAGGCCGGCAGCCCAACCGCGCGGGAGAGCCGCTCCATCACGGTGGGAAACAGGGGGCGCGGGGGCCGG